TGCGGATTTTAATTTAAAATTTTAATTTTAATACTATGACGAGAACAAAATGTCAAACAAGATATAAAATTAAAAATTCACTACGTTGGTTATTTAAAATTAAAAATTCATATATGTATTTTCCATTTTACAATTAGTTCTACCTGAACAAGAAGTTAAAAGCGAGAAAAAGCGAAAATGCTAATACAATTTGCGCAAAATAATTTTATCTCATTAAAGAAATTTTCTAAATTTTTTAACAATTATGGCGAGCAAACCTGAAAAGACGAATGAACCTAAAACTGAATTAGCGACTCTCGAGGTAAGCATTTTTACGAGAAAAGATATATGAAAAAAGTATGTTTCAAAAATAATTATAATGCAATCACAAAAATCGACAAATCAGCAACAAATTATTTAGTCGACAATAAATTTCACTGGCAATAATTAATAATTAATAATTCACCGACATAAATGTTAACATAAATTCATTAATTTTTGAATATTAGATTTAGTACCATTTGAGAAAAAAATATTGCAAAACAAGTGTAATTATTTTCTTATAAAAATAATAAACTTATTGCTTTTTAAGTAAAAAAATGCGACACTTGTACTGATTAAATAAATATATTTAATGACACAGAAGTTGGCGAACAAAGTCCATGAACTGTCGAGCTTGATAAAATATCGAGACGAAATCATGCGATCATTTCCATATAAAAAAAGGATATTACGTTTTAGCCGGAAGATTTAAGCAACGAGAAGAAGAATGAGGAAAACATCGAGATGGAGATGTTATCAAATTCGGAGCAGAAAAACAAACCAAAAACCTGCGAGGAGGATCCCTATATTGTGAAGCTATTTAAAAGTCTAATAAAACCGGAAAGTCAGAAGTCAGTGGAAAAGAAAAAGTGATATCTGGATCAATTTGTGAAGAATGGCAACAACATTTTTATAAAATGTACCTTAAAAAATAATTGTAAAAAAAAAATTTGCCCGTTTTAAATTGCGTTCATATATAACATGCGTACATTTTTATATCGAGTTTTCAGATAAACAAGATATATTAACAACATATATTATATATACCAATAGTTCAAGGAGAACTTCTAGGAAACACTATTTTCTAACACTTTATCGATATCAATGTTGCTATCATGTCAATAGAAATATCTGATATCCTTCATAAGTAATTATCGTTAATTTAATGATATTTTTTTTTTTTAACAAGGCAATACAGATATCTGATGTATAAGTGATGTGCAACACTTATTGCACATTATTTCATAAAGAGTAATCTGCAAATACATGGCGTAAAAATTACTATTGTTACTTTTGCGCAGATAAATCATCGAGACATGATTTGTTCCATTACTGCTATATCAAATTACAAATTACAATGTTAAAAAACGAGGAATCCTTTTTTTCATGCTATATATCAAAATAAATAGTTTTTATCCCCCTTTTTCTGCATGAATGCAGCGTTCGATTATCATATAAATTATAGATGATTGCTAAAATATACTGAGAACTGTTTTTTTAATTATGTACTGCAACATATTCTTAACAGTTCAAAATGGCATACCTATAGCCCACATTTTTAATGAAAATGCATGACAGTCACTCAATTGGACTGAAAAAGAATTGTTAACTTGACAAAATTTTCAAGTTAATTACTATTTTGTTAATTGAACATATTATATAATTTATCATATATTAGTCAAATATACGTTTTGTTAGATTTAATATATTATATTTATTTTAATATTTTTATATGTTCAATAAAATAATATTTAGTTGAAAGGTTTAGTTAACAAGTTTTTTCAGTATTTAAATTCCGTATATCCTTTACTAATTTATATTATTCTCGAATACGAAAATATAGTGCACGTGTACTTATTCCTTTATAAAAATTTATCACTATATAGTAACGCTAATTTATCACTTATTTCGAGTACTTAAATTACTGTATATCAGTATTTTAAGTCTTCGAAATAAGTAATTAATTAGCGTTACTAGTAATAAATTTCTTAAGGGTTTAAGTATATGTAAAGAAAAAAAATTGCATAATTTGTTTTCTCTCGTTTATAACATCGTAATTGGATATAGCTGTGAAGGAACAAATAAAGTTTTAAACATTTTCAAATATGTCTGCCTCTTGAAGAGAATTTTTTATTCGTTCAACATATGTAATGTGAACTTTTTGCCAGATACACATGGTTATTTGATACGCTTCGTCGTGGTGACGACCGCGACTCTGAATAATGCATTCGGGATCAAAGATCACTAAGACACGTATTTTCTGATATTCAATGTCAGATTGATATCTTGATGAAAATAGAAGCCTAAACCAGTGCCCTTTGGTAAAGCGTCTAATACTATATTATAAGAAAAAATTTGATCATGTTGCGATAAAAAAAGAAACACATTATAACATTATAACGCTTTTGACTATAAAACTATTTGACTATTTTTTATTGACTATTTTTATAATTTTTTAAAATTTTTTAATAAAATTGAATAATAGGATATTAAAAAAATTGAGAAAAAATATTGGCTTAAAAATAAATTTCTCAAATTCTTCGGAGAATATATTCATTCATTAATATTAATATCGTTAATAAAATAAATCTGAATATTCATTCAGTTATATATTGGTCACAGATAAAGAAATATAAATAATTTTTTAACAATAATTATATTTTTCATTCTATATCGTATATTCGATTGCCTTAATTTTCCGTCACATATGAGTGAAAGTATCCTAAAACTTGCGAGACCTGATGTAAGGGACTGTTTGCGTTGAATCATATCTGTATGACATACTAACAAATATTGCTGCCAAATAAATTAATATATTGACTGTCACGAATTTTATCTACCATTAAAATTTTGACTATCATTGTGATAACGTGTCTGATAAGAGTAACTATACATACAATATATAAGGTGTCTCAAAAACCGAATATTTTTGATAGCAGATTCTAGATAATTTAAAAATTATTTTTTCTTAATAAAAAAGTCGAAACATCAAGTAATTTATAAATTATAAACGATGAACAAAAAAGAAGAGTTTTTTGCGAACTAAATTTTGTATAGAGTTAAAAGATTACAAGAAAAGTATATTCTTCTATTAATTTTATATGGAGTTTACTTCTAATAAATTTTAATTTTAGGCTTAATTACTTACAAAGATATATAATAAAAAAACTTGAATCATACAGTAATATATATATTATAGATAAAAAACATATTAAATATAAAGATATAGAAACTAAATATAAATATATATTTGTATACATCTAAAATCTTGTAGTAAATTTTTCAATACGTTTATAATTTTAATTAATTTAATTCAATTTATATTTTATATATTGTTAAACTATATGCATCCATATATGTAAATATAAAATCTTATTTTTTTTACAAATGTTTTTTTCAACCAACAAAAAATGTAATCATACAATCGCTCAATTATCATTATGTTAATAAATAACATATCTGTTGTAAAGTTTTGACAGCCAACATAAATATTAGGAGCCGAGTACTTTTCAATTTACTATTTAAATATTTATTTTCTTACAGTCAATTTCGTTTACCATTGTTTATGTATGTCATAATTATTAGATGACATTTGAAAAATGATTACGCTGATACGTAACACTTGAATTGAACTTAAACGATCGCTGTAAAAGTCACTTATCATCAAATGGACACGTGCAGCTACTTAATGATATCCAGTACTACGATTCGCAAGAACGAATCTCGAAGTAAACTTCATAAGATTTGCCTGCCAGACACGAGATTCTTTTGCTTCTTTTGCATACAAAGTAATTACGCGAACGCGAATAAAAATATAGCTAACTTCTGGAGTAGATAAAACTGGGAACGTTGAATGTACGCATTATGACATATATTATAATCCTTGTCTATATCATTATCATTGATTTAAAAATAAAACAAACAAAACTCGTGCATCGCAGTCTATAATTACAATAATTATCTCTTCTTTCCGAAAGTTACATCACAGTTAATGTATATCATTATATCGATGTTTACAGATGATCGAATGACCTCATACCTTTTATTCCGTAATATCTTTATTTTTTCACAAAACCCCGATAAAGTTTTCGTACACGTGCACGCGAAATTCGGAGTACATCACAAACCGGTCACGTGATCCCTTCCCCTTCGCGTTATCACCTGTCGGAATGCAGTTCGAAATTTACCTGTCAAATAAGATGATCGCGGCGTCTCGTCCTCGGTGATCCGTGCCTCATACGACTTGCCGTAACGGCGTACCACGTGACGGATGATCTATGTCGACTCGTGCACCTCAATTCGATAAGAATTGAATTTTTCGTGAGCGCCGCCGATGACGACGAGAGATCGTACGTCGCGCAAAGAACGCATCGACGATCGGCCACGATCGGCGTTGGTCGGCGATGCTTATATCTCACCGTCACTTTTTTTTCTTCTCATGAATATCGCGTGGCAAAAATTCGCAGGACGGATGTTATACGCAATAAGCACGAGAGAGAGAGATAGAGCGCGATGCGATGCGTGGAACGTATGCTTGGAGAACGGAGTGGCGCCGCGAACGGCGACAAGGGGAAACACTCACCGGCTGGCGCGCGAAATTCAAACGCGCCGCGGAAAACGAGAACAGCTGTTGTTCGAAGTTACGACTTTCGGCTTATGTAAAAAGAATGAGATTATTAAATCAGTTGAAATTATTAAAAATCCATACTTCTCGTTATTATTTTAATGAATTGTGCAAACAAATCATCCGAAAATTGTAATTATATTTATCATTTAATATTTATAATTAAATTGTTAATTAAAATATTAAAATATATTATATAACTTATATATATTTATATATATATATAAAATATGTATAATATGTATAATAATATGTATATATATATATATATATATATATACATATTATTATACATATTATACTTTATAATATATACATATATATAAATATATTGTTATATTAAATTAATATTTATATTAAAGTTGCATTACGTCGAGCATTTAAAACACCTTGGCACTCTTTGTGCCTTTATCTCGGCTTCCCTCGATTGTCTTTTCAATGCTAAAAATGGACAAGTACATAATTTATTTTTTTGGAATTGTTTTTTATAAATCATGTCGACTGATTTAAATATCTCGACTTACTTATCGTCGAACTGATGTTGATCGGTTCGAGTTTTAAACTCTGCATCTCACGCAATGCCATTGCCTGAAAAGTGAGTGCGGCGATACGTGTAAATAATTCGGATACCTCGTTGCCCGTTCTTGAAGAAACCGCCCAATATTCTGCCCGCATTCTTTTCGCCATTTCTATCGCCCGTTTTTCAATTATGTCGTACACTTGATGAGACTATTTTCCAAAATGATAATGATCGATCAAGAAAATAATGGATACTTATTGTTAGATATTTACCAATAAATCCTTTTTGGCACCGACTAAAAAGATGTGATATGGACCAACGTTGCTGCGACTTGCTTCATTCAACCATTGTTGGCAGTGCGTCAATGACATCAAGTTACTCACATCAAAAACAACCATGATTACTGTAAAATAAAAAATATATATAAGAATATAAATAATGTAAAACATAAAAAACGAATAAAAAATTTTATTTTTACCATTAGCTCCACGATAATAAGATGCTGCTATACATTTGAATCTTTCTTGTCCGGCAGTATCCCATCTATAAATATATGTAAAATTATTTCTTACAATACACATTTACATTTATATAACATTTGTAAGCATTTTTAGATTTTTAGTTTTATTACATTTGCAAATGAAAAGGCAAACCAAGGATATCAAATCTCTCCACTTCAAAGTCCACACCGATGGTAGCCTTGTAATTGTTGTCGAAGAGCTTGTGACAAAAACTATATAAAGCAACAAATAATTTAAATATTTAAATCTTTACATCAAGGAACGTGCACCATTTATTCTAAATAAATATTTTTAAAAACTATAAATATAAAAGTAATATATAAATCTTTAAAAGATTTTTTATCATAATTACCGATTCACCAACGACGTCTTGCCGACAGCAACGTCACCAATGACGATCACTTTGGAGATTCTGAGGGTCAAGTTTTTGTTCTCACAGGTTCGTCTGATCAAGCTGCCGAAATCGCTCTCGGTGTACGGAGTCATCTCCGATGAAAACGGTGGGGGCCAATTAGTTATCTATTCGGAGGAGAATTAGAGAGAAAGGTGCATTAATATTTTGTTTAACAAGTTCAATTAATTTTTTTCTTACCTGCCTCTCATCGTGGGCCTTTTCTTTCATCATTTTGTAAACTGCGGAACGCGTTTCCAACATCGCATCGAATCTGAACAGCATTAAAGCATCTTGAAAAATATATAGCTTCTATCGTAGATATTATGTGAGCACAACATGAGTAATTCCAGCAAAACATTGGTTGCTGTGGCAGGTGTTCAACTCATAACACATGGGGGGGCTTATATATGAGTGTAGAATTCCTGCAAACACATATATTTGATGTAATATTTGGAAACTGTCATCGTAATACAAAACATTTTTTCGTGGATTATATAATAATAATTTAAAAGTTATTAATATTAATATATAATTATTAATGACATATAATTTAATTATTTTCTTCTTTCTCGAAAATAACCTATTCATTTATATATTAAATAACAACTTTTATATTAAATAACTAATATATTTTATATATAATTATATTTTATAAATAATATTTACCTGTATATTTTTCTTTCTCTCTCCCTCTTTGCAAATATTTTTTCGCTCATTTAAAATGTTCTTCTTTCCAAAACGGTTTCAACTCATTGATTTAATGTGCACGAGCGAAAGATTCAATGGTTTCAACCTTTTAATAGAGAAATAGAGCATTCGTAAACTCCTCCGGAGAAATAATTCTGGTCGACCATCGGTCCACAATTCTGGCAATCTCCATTTTGAAAAGTCTCTGCTTCGTCTGTCAACGACCAGCGTAGTAGCCGGAAGTCGAATTGTCGACGCTCGCGCATCCGTTTCACACTTCACGTTGACGTTCTCTTTCACGTTCTTTTTAGTAAAATGGCTCCCAAACCTACGAAGTCTACGGATAAAGCAGGTAGATTTGGAAACAATATCTATATCATTTCTCTTTCTCCTCTTTTAGTTAAACACACTTTAGGGTAAATTATGCTATTTAATTAATATAATTCGGTAACGAAGTGGTATTTGAAATTAATTTTGCCGAGAACGCATCCCATGATACCCATGTGGTTTATCGTTCTTCGAATATATGTCTTTATTTCGTTGTATTTACGATAAAAGTACTTGCGTAGAGTTATTTCTTGAAATTTTACGCGTCTCTGTTTTGTGAATTGTCTACAATGCGGTTTTTCGCAATAATGATTTTTGATGAAATATTTACATGCTGTGTATCATAACCTATAAAATAGAAGAAAACGAAGAGACGTCTGATATTTTTATATTTTTAAGAGCGTAATATGAATATATTAGAGAAAATATTTTCAATTTTTCTCTTTTCAATGTTTTCTCAATTATCAGTGTAATTATTTACCTATTCTTCTAAATAATAGGTAAGCCTGCAGAGAAGAAGACGGAGAAGAAGGCGGAGAAGAAGCCGGCTACCCAGGCTTCCACCTCCAAAGTGACCAAACCTGCAGCCAAGCCTGCAGCGGCAAAGAAACCAGCAGCAGCTAAACCAGCGAGCGCTGCCAAACCTGCCGCAAGCAAGCCTGCGACTAAACCTGTCCTCAAGCTTGCCAGTAAACCACTGATCAGCAAGCCTAAGAAAAATGTACAGGCTGCTAAGAAGACACCCAAGGGTGGAAAATCAGCAACTCCTCTGCAAAAAGCCCTTAAGGCGCAGAAAAAGGTTCAGTCAGATTTTTCAAGAATTATATTGAATATCACCAATTTTTAAATTTCTTTTTTTATACATCTCAAATAATAATATCTCTATATATGATGATTGTATGTAAGTGTGGGAATCTCTTTGAGTTTTTATGAAAATACCTTTTAACACAATACTGATACAAATTAAAGAGCATAATATGTATACAATTGCATATTACATATTACTGATGCTGGCAATTACATTTTGCATTTCAGATTCTGAAGGGAGTCCATGGATCCAGAGTGCGGAAGATCAGGACGTCTGTCCATTTCCATAGGCCCAAAACCTTCAGACCACCAAGGAATCCCAAGTATCCACGTAAATCTGTGCCAAACAGAAATCGGTAAGAAAGCTCGAACGCTGGAATTCTTTTATAATACTTAAAAATATCTAAATTTGTAATTCTCTGAAAATCTATTGTTTATACATCATTGAAATATTTGCATTTCAGTATGGATGCTTTCAATATAATAAAATTCCCGCTTACGACGGAAGCGGCGATGAAGAAGATCGAAGACAACAACACTTTGGTCTTCATCGTGCACACATCCGCCAATAAATATCACATCAAGGCGTCGATTAAGAAACTCTATGATGTCGATGTGGCGAAGGTGAATACCTTGATGAGGCCGGACGGCAAAAAGAAGGCTTACGTGCGTTTGACGCGTGATTACGATGCGCTCGACGTCGCCAACAAGATCGGCATCATATAATTTCTATTCTCTCTTATTAAAAAATAAAACAAAATCTGTACTGATAATAAAAAAATATCAATATGGATATTGACTGCACTTCATCTGTATTGTTTCCTTGTTAGATTATGCTCCTTTAAACAATAGAATAAAGCGCAAAAGAAAAAATCTTTATCTTATTTATAAATCAAAGTATTATATTATAGTTTTAAAAAATATTTTTGTACCTTTGTGGAGTCATATCACTTCAAAATTATAAGTTATCGACTGTACTCGCGAAGATATTGCCATCTATCGCGACTAGTGCAAGATAAATTCATTGTTCTCAGGGGGAGTGTGTCATGCATGCAACTGTCAATGTAAAAATCAAGTTTTAGATAACAATGAATTATGTACAGTGTGAAAGCAAAATAATCTGTTGCATTATTGTTTAAATTCAAATAAATACTAAAATAGATATGTATGAAAAAATATATAAGTATATAATACACTTGTGAGGTAAGTAGATAGTATCATATGTGTCAAATAAACTTAAACTTTTTTAAAAGGCTCATATTAATGATATATAATATAAGTCATAATAGTTCTATAATTTTCAATAATTCACAGGTTATCCGCATCATTTGTTAATTAAAAATGATAGAAACATCAGGATGGAATTCCAAGAAAGATGAGAGCATCTACAAGGCTGCAGGTGCTATGCACCTGCGAAAGTATGGGGAGTTCTTTGAAAACCTGGTGGAAAAATCCTGGAGTGGCGACTCTGCGCTGGAGTATGTTATAGAAGGTCCTCTACGTCTAGTTTACAAAGCTAAGGAGGATATCAGTATCCTCTCCCTGGTGGAGATGGAGAACAAAGCACTGTCCAAGCTGCTGGCAGCTGTGGCAGGAACGTGCAGGGAAATCAGGCTGCTGAAGGTGGAAGCTGCTAATTTCTACACAAAACTCTTTGCACATGGAGAAAGATGTGCAGATAATGATCTCACTAATGTGACTAAATTGCTATCCGATCTGCAGGATCTATCCATTTTCGTTAATCGAATGTCAACTGTTGTGCACTTGACTACACAACAATTGGCAAGTCTATCTGGTGCCGTTCATGAGATCTATTTACCTACCCTAATTGAATGCTTTATAGATCTATTCGTGATCTTCATGACTCTTGATGAGATCATCGATGCTCAATCAACAATAGTAGATCTGTGGAAGAAATACAGGATGCATGTACGTTCCATGATGCACAATCCTTCGCAATTTGGCGTTGCTGAGGCAAAACTAGAGACATTCGATCACCTGTTGAAAGATCTTCAGGAAAAGTTATTACGAAGGAATATGCTTTCAAAAGCGATTGAACATGTAATGGATGTAAATAAGAGTGCAGTTATGAGCGAACAGATTGTCAGCTATTTGAAGAACACGATCACAGATGTGGAGACTAAATCCAACGATCATGCTGCGTTGAACAAAAACTGGATAAGAGCTAACATTGGCGTTGCAGTGGTGATAAAGCTATTTGGTACTTGCGATCGAAGATTAATTAAGAGAGTGCTGGAGGCGAACAAGAGGTTCTACGCGGTCACGTTGGTGGGAAACGTGATTTGGGTACCTAGCAAATTCCTCAGCAACATTGTGCCAAAGGAAACTGGTACAGCCGTGAGCTCGCAGATAGGCGAAAAGATTCTACAGGCGAGAACGCAGAGATTGCCGATTGTAGTCAATAGTCTGATACACCGAGCAACGACCTGGTGCGTAGAGATGCAGAGTATTCTGACGAGGACAAATCTTCAAGTATCTGACATCGGGCAAAAACGTACATTGCTGACGGATCTGCTAGCTCTCTTGTCGCAGATGCGAGAAACGGTCGCATTCGTAACGAATCTTCACGCTTTCCTGTCGAAGCCTATGAGCCGCAACACGGTGCAACTGATCTGCAGACTCGTGGAGTTGCAAAAGTCCCTGCAGACAACGTTCTATACGCTTGGACCGATCGTGGTGCAATCGCAGGCGCAAGTGCTGCAGTATTTAGCTTATTACATGTTAGCTATGCTGGAGACAGCGCGCAAGGGTCTTGTTCAGAAGGACAAAGGCTACAGCAGGGAGCGATTGGACGCGCTATCCCTGATAGGACTCGCTATGCGGCTGATAAGCGGTCCGGCGAGCGCTGATAGACGGCTAATAGTGCGTTGCACCCTGGCATGTGCCAGTCAATTGACCGATACCTTCCGCGAAGAGGACGTGGTGAAGCTACGGTTCCTCCTGGACAGCTACGACGCCGTGGCCGAGCTGCACGAGCTGGTTGACGAGCTCGGTGATTACTCGTTGCTGTTGCATCATCAGAATATGCTGCCCGCCTACCTTTCCTCAGTCGTCGACGGTAACACCGGGGTCTGCCACGTCGCTCATCTGTTCGCCGCCTTCAACAGCGCCGTGGGCGAACAGGAGTTGGTCGAACTCAGGGAAAAACACATCGCGGAGCTTAGGGAGAGCCTGGTGAAAAGCGTATTGAAGCCAGCTTGCCATGAAATCGAGACCAGTCTACGATTACATGTGCACGCCCATCTTAAACTAGACTCTACGAACCCTTTCAACATTGGGGCCAAGGACAGTGGCAGAGTGGTGCGTATTCCGCCATTATCCTTAGCTGAAAACATGGTCTGCACCAAAAGATTCGTCGAGCATTATCTGGATGATATGTTCTATAATCTGACAACGGTCGCTCTGCATGATTGGAGAACCTATCGGATGATGCACACGTTGGCCAGCTATAAGATGGGTCTAGGCACAGTGCAAGATCATCTGCCGACGCAGACCCTCGAACAAGGCTTGGATGCTTTAGAAATTATGCGTAACATCCACGTGTTCGTTTCCAGGTAGAGTCGAATTCTATTCACAATTAATATCTAGAAAAATTAATATATATTATTAATATTTGATCGCTCTGTGCAGGTATCTTTACAATCTGAACACGCAGACATTCGTGGAGCGCAGCAGTGGTAACAAGCATCTCAACACCATCGGCATCCGACATATCGCCAATTCGATTCGCACCCACGGCACTGGTATCATGAGCACCACGGTGAACTTCGTCTATCAATTCCTGCGCGTTAAGCTGCACACGTTCTCGCAGTTCCTCTTCGACGAGCACATCAAGTCCCGTCTGATGCGCGACATCAGGTTCGTCCGGGCGCAACGGGAAGCGGGCGTCATTCCGTACACGTATGAGCGAGCGGAAAAATTTCAGAAGGGCATCCGAAAACTAGGGATGACCTCGGACGGGTTAAGCTACTTGGACCAGTTTCGCCAGTTGATCACGCAGATCGGCAACGCACTCGGTTACGTGCGATTGATCCGTTCTGGTGGTCTTCATGCTAGCTCCAATGCGGTGTCCTTTCTGCCGGATATTGAGAAGACTGTGCCCTTCGAAGCGCTCTGTCGTGGACTGAATTACAGCGTCGAAACGCAGGCTGCGGCTAGACGACTGGAGGACGACATCGCCGATCTTGTCCGCAACTTCACCGAAGGCATTCAGTACTTCAAGCTACTAGTGGACGTGTTCACGGCGGCGTTTCGCGACGCCAAGTCTTATCATCTGCAGCAGTTCTACGCTATCGTGCCGCCGTTGACGCTGAGTTTCGTAGATAATTCCGTGTCGAATAAAGAAAAGATGTTTAAGAAGAACCAAACTGGCGCGGCCTTCACCGACGATGGCTTTGCCATGGGTATCGCCTACATCAACGCACTACTCGATCAAAACGCAGAGCTGGACGGTCTGCATTGGTTCAAGACGGTGGATGAGCACATCGCCCAGGAAAAATTTGCCGCCGATAGTAAAGACGACCACGGAGACGAGAAGCTTCAGCAAACCAGAGCGCTCACTCTCCAACGTCTCGCCGAGAGGAATGCAGAATTCCAGCTATTGTACTATAGTCTTTCTGGTGCTAGAGTGTTCTTCAAACAACCCGATACGTAACGCGAGAATACGGATGTTATTTTGATACTTCAATATTGCATCTGGGTCTCGATTTCTTAATTGATAAGGGAGAAATAATCGATACAAGTTATAAATAGGTAAATATGCACTTAGAACTATTTCTTAATTTTATTCCTAATTTTGAGTTTGAACAGAATTTGAATAAATATAATGCAGTCTAGCGTCTCTTTCGATTTTATTGTATATAAGTCATTCTATACGAAAACGTACAAATGGTTCAAGCTAAAATTTGTTGAAACCTATATGAACAAATTCAACGTATATACGTAAATTGTTACAATTTCAATTTTTTAGTATCTTTGTAAGTTTCCAGGTCGGTAATTACTAAATTAGAATTATAAAATTCATAATAGCAAATCCAATATGACCGCTGCATATGTAATGTTTTTGTTTTATATTCTTCGAAATAAAAAATATTGCACAATGCAGCGGTCATATTGGATCTGCTATTTTGTAATTTTGATTGCAGATTAATAATCACCGACATTGGAAACTTACAGAGATACCAGAGAAAATTGTAACGTATACCAGTCTACACATATATTAAATTTTCTGAAAAACTTTTTCGGAATTACTCAAAAAATGGCTTTGTGTCAGGGGCCAAGTAGCATTTAATTCTACATGAAAAAAGCTAAAATTTGACTCTTCATATGTACATTTCGACAAATTTTGGCTCGAGCCATTTTAAGTTTTCATATGGAATGACTAATATATATACATATAATATCATAGAGCGCATGTTATTTTGTAAATGACTTAGATTCTTTACAACCATTTTTATAAATATTTTCTACATTCACAATATCAGATTCTCGTTCAATAAATAATGGCTAGACTGAGCGACTAGGATTTATTATGCCTAAAAAAAGATGCATTTGCTACTCGCAAGAGTAAGTAGAATCGAAAGAGTAAGTGAATGAAGGCATTTATGTGATTTTTTAAGCTTTAAATTTACTCAAATTCATGAGTAATTGCTCGTCGCAATAGTATGTATGCGTGCATGCGTGTGTAATTTCTGCAGAAAATTATCATTAAACTGTTACAGAATAACTACTATTTAATAAATAATCTAAAATAATGTAAATTTCTCAGAACATGTAGCCTTCATCCACTACTTTCAATTAATTACTCAATTCACCCAATTTAACTGATTAATTTCACTTTCTTGATAATTGAATTTTTCAAAGGAATCGTTTCCAATCTGGAGTTCGACATTATTTTCTAAATTTTTAACAAACTATTCTGTCTATAATAACATTAACGCACTATTGGCGTATGACAGACATAGACATATATACACAATATGATCAACTATTTTCATAGCTGCACGTGCTAAAAAGCAATCGCATTGCGTTACTTTGCATACAATAAGAACCTGATCTCTCTTATATTAATTATCATTTGAAACGATCGCTATCATTCTTAATTAAAACTAAGTATTTTCCAATGTCAGCAATAATCTTTTTAGATTATTACTGGATAAATTCTCGCAAAATTTTCTCATACAAATTTCTAAACAATTACACACCATTAATACACAATAATACAGATAATCGCAAGCAACATGTATCACAACAAAATATAAAATCTATTAAAATAAAATTTACGTTACAATATCGCAATAAAATATCACATTAAATTTATCAGAATTAAAACAGATCTATATCCTGATTAGGAAATACATTAAGATTAATTAATGTATACTATCCCTACATACATACATACATATATATATATATATATATATATATATATATATATATATATATACATATACAATATGTATATCTGCATACCGAAATATGATTTTTTTTTATAATTTTGTATATTGTTTCTCTCAAACTTTCTTCTTGATATTAATTTTTCTTTCTCTATAAATTTTTATCTTTTCGTTTTAATACGCCTTTGGATCCTCAGCCTAGCAATTTCATTATCTCTGTTCAGCTAATTATCTCCATCACGTGAACCAGAAACATAAATCACTAATTAAATTATGTACGACGCTAACATAATTTTCATTCGTCTCGCGCAAATTACGCGACATGGATATGCTTGTTTTTGTGACATTTAAATTACACTTAAGCTGTGAACGCCATTAAGTTTGCTCTGTCTTTACAATAAAGTAAGACAAGAGTATAGATATTCCCTGTAGAATCATAGTTACAGATGTTTCCTTAAGATTGAGGTTTCGATGACTCTTCTGGATCCAAGAGATCGTCACATGAAGCTGTCGGTGGCAACAATTGCCTGCCCCCGCGTTTCTTACTGCGTGTGAATACTTTCGTGAGTTGTGCGAATTTACGTCGAGATACTGTAGAATAAGAATATTCATTATTAGAGAGAAAGAACAGATAAGTCACACATTACGATTCTTAATTTTATTTCTTTTTTAACTAGTTACTTACATTTGCCCATGTTCTTCAGTCTTTCCTTAAATAAATCCTCGTCATCATGACCAGTCTGAGCACTGCACTTTTCGAGTTTCGAATCTACAAAAGAAGAAAAGATATTTATTGTTTTTTTTTTTATAAGTATTGACATTAGTGGATAGATGCATAACATTCTCCTAAATATATTATCATCTTGTAATTCTTTAAATTCTTTACCATGTTCCAACGTGGATAGAAAATCTTCATTCCAACGAAGTTCTGCCATAAACTCCTCGTTCTGTAAAAACATGGCAATTCTCTCATCTTCCAACATGGAGTTCTCTTGCGAGTACACTGAATCAATGCCATCATCCGATATCATTTGCTGGGGCAGTCTTAGAAAGGTATCTGGCAATGGTCCCAACAATGGTGGCTGCCACTTATGTATAGATCTTAACGATTTGCTAGAATCTTTCCTAGGTGACTTTGCAGTGCTTGGCAATTCTTCTTTCTGCTCCAATTCACTCCTAATCTTCTCATTCTCGTTGTCAGTACTCATAGTGAGTAACTGATCAATCGTAGTATCCACAGCTCCCTGATTGGATCTCAGCACAGCCTGACAAACAATGTAAGTGAATTCAATTTACTTGTGTTAATTAATATGAGCAATGTGTTTACTATATCTACAAATTCAATATTTTTACCTCTATCACATCGTCATCCATCTGTGGAAACATGTTCTTAAAGTCAGCCATCGCCTGGTAAAATTCCAGCGTGGTCTGCTGCTGTTGCTGCTGCTCCGTAGCAGAAGCCATAATGAAGTTTTCAGACAGAGATTGATGGACAGCTGATTATAATTGGAGAATAAATTGTTAGAATTGCAAAATAAAAATCTGTACATATATTAAAACTACGCATATAAAAACGTACAAACACCTGCTGATGATCTTCAGGAAGTGACAGCGTTATCCATGCCTGCAAACACCGGTTTACGTTGTTACGTCAACCCGATCTTTATTTAGTGTCAATTAGCATAGTATCATCTTTCGAAACGGTTAATTAGTCGAATGAACGTGCGACGTGTTTAGAATACGAAAGATCCGCTGTCAGTCTATGCATATATCATTTTATGTACTAAACGAACACCAAAAAGTTCCTCTTCCTTGGAGTGGTTGGCACCGGGTGGTTAATGTTAATACGTCCACTTCTCACACGATCACATCAAGAATTGTCAATCATCAAAATCTGCTCACCATAGAAATGTAATATACATAGATAGAGAATTAGTTGCAAAGAAAATGGCCAGAGAGAAGAGAGCGGCCACCGGGATTCAGCAGCTGCGTGTACAGCGTCCCCTGACAAAGTGGACATAAACTACGTCGTGACGCTCGGTAAAAAGCACGGTAAGTGGTTCGATTCCGTGATATGGTTTCAGCATTATCTCCTTATCTCTCTCTCTCCCTCTCTGAAGATATTTTCGAAAAATCTTATCAAGAATGTCACAGTATGTCATCTACATATGAGTGTAAAAATATATTTTAATAATAACATATATATTTTATGTAAATTAAAGAAAAAAATGCGCGATTGAGCAGTAATTTCATCGATAGTCTAAAAAGATTTGTCATTTTAATTTTGCGAAACGAACGTGTGTATAGATGGAGTGATATAAATACAAAATTTGCGCACTTATCCTTGTTTTATAATTTTATACAATTATTCATGTATATTTACCCTTGTGCTGAATAATATCAACTCTAATATTTTCATTATTATATTCCACTAAGAAAATTGTATTAATATTATAAAATGTATCGTATTACATCATTCATCACGATAAAAAAAAGGACACGTGTACATACAATTTTTTATCTCGCCATCTCTATTCAAACATTTTTCTAGCTTTGCTTACACACGTATGTGCAAATAAAACATATGTACATCTATGCAGAAAGATAATGCAATTGTGCTGCCGTCTGTCACGACGATTCAGCAAAATTAACGGAGGCACGTCTCGATCGTTGAAACACCGAAACAGAAACGCGAACGCGTGGGCGATTCGAGGGTGGGGAATCAGCCGGTGCTTCCTTCTCTATTCTCTCTATACTCTATATACGCGAAACCGCGTCGCGTTCGCGCATGCATTGTGGTGAATGCGGTCTGTGGCCTGTGCCTGTGGTCGACGAGCCGGGGGATCGTCCGATATGCGTATTACATACGCAATACGCGACTAATTTATTATAATATTACTCATCCATCGGTTCGCCCCGCGCGAATGAGGTGATTCGCGTCGACGAAGGCGCAATTGTCAATTCTTTCTCCGCGAAAATCGAATCGGAATCTCTCTTTCTCTCCGTCTAGGTGTTTACGAAAAACAGGTAGACATTCTCTTCCAGCACCCTTGGCACGATGAATCCACGTAGTAATAGACGATTTTGCGGACGATACAAATAGAAGAGAGCAACAGGAATACTTGCACCTCTGAAGTTTCGGATAACGCGTGATCGAGCGTTTCTCGTTGTTCAGGACGATACTTTTGCGTAAATGTGCGGCGGTTTACGATTGCAGACGTCGACGGATTGGATACGTTAGGTGGTTAGATTTTTGAGAGTTTTTGATACATTCCAGAATGTATCGTAAACTCAAGTTCGAGGTGGAATACCTCACCGAGGAACACCTCACGGGGTTCGAGAGCTATAAAGTGAGCGTTTTATTTAAGAGTAATAACTTTCAGTGTTATATTATACATACATCGTCATTTATAAATATTTTGTGCAATTAAATTTCATATAATACCTAACATTACTTTTATTCGATTAATTGATTTGATAATAACGTAATGCTCAATTACTCTCTATACTTACGTCAAATATTTTAATTTCAGTATAGCTCCTTGGATACAAGCCCTCTAAGCGTATATGTTATGCATCCCTTTTGGAACAAAGTAGTACAGGTATGATTTCTACATTTTAGTAGCAGAATAATTGTTAATACAATAATAAAGATTATATACTTTCATCTATAGACATGAAATATATATTTAGTAAAGTTATATATAATATAGAACAGTATTTTATAATTATTACAAATACTAATTGTGTGTGTCTTATTTTATAGTATTGTCCAAAGTGGGTTGCCCCAAATGTACTAACCTTTTCGGGATTTCTTTTTACTGTGTTGAATTTTATGTTATTTGCGTATTATGACTACTATTTCTACGCATCCAGTGATGACAAGCCGGAATACCCTCCAATATCACGATGGGTCTATGCTGTAGCTGCTTTTAACATTTTTATGGCATATACGCTTGGTATGTGTATTCTGCATTGATATATAATTTATATATTAACATATTGTATTAATTCTATTATAATCAATATATAGAATTTAAATGGATCAGAAATTATATGTACATAACATTTTTTTACCTTTTATACTTAAAAAAATACACTTGAATATAAAATTGAATAAAATGTACAAATTGATACAAGATTAGAGTTTTATTGTGACTTAAATCTTTTAATTTAAAATGCTCATTTATAATTATTACATTGCAGATGGGATAGATGGAAAGCAGGCAAGGCGTACACAAACGTCTGGTCCTTTAGGAGAATTATTCGATCATGGTTTAGACAGTTGGACCGCTATGTTGATCACTGTGTGTATGTACTCAGTTTTCGGCAGAACGGATCACAGTGTCTCGCCATTACGAATGTACTTTATATTATGGAATGTATTTATTAATTTCTATCTGAGTCACTGGGAGAAATATAACACAGGTGTTCTATTTCTCCCTTGGGGATATGATGCTTCCATGCTAGTAAGTTTATTTAAACCATATCATACATGTGTGTGTCTTTACAACTTGGATTTTATAAAATTATAATAATACATACAAAATTATAAAAAAGAATTTATGTAATTACACAATTATTACACAATTTTTTGTCAATTTTATAGGCAACTGTCATAGTATTTACTCTTACCAGCATAGGTGGACACGAAGCCTGGAAATTCGAATTACCAGGTGGTGTGTCAGCAGGAATGATGTTCGAAATGCTGTTTTATGTTAGTGCACTTGTGTCTAATTTGCCAGTTGTTCTTTGGAACATATACAAGTGAGTATGCTTTTTATTTATTATTGAAAAATTATCAAATCTATATCAAAATATTTATCAGATAAAGATAGAATTACATAATTTTTTAGGCAATTTGTATCAAATTATTATATTGATAAAATCTGTATATAAATATTATTAATAATTATAAGTTCTTTAATTCTTTTTATTCTTTTTATGTAATTATAAATAATCTTTATATTTTTATAACCCACAATTAGCTTTCATATTCTTCACCCAGATCAAAGTTCTTTCAATGTTTTTTTTTTTAATATTTATGTAGTAACTTTACCACAGAATGTATATAGACAGAACATATATATATTAAATCTACAACAACACATCAATCTGATAAATATGTTTTTATAATATTCTAGAATATATAGTTATCTTGTTATTATATTTATATAAAAATGATGCAACATACATTACTCTTGCTTATATATTTCTCATACTATTGTGACACATCTTTTGTAGATCATATAGAGATAAGACCGGCAAAATGCGGACGTTTCCAGAGGCCATAAGGCCCTTGGTGCCGTTAATTTTGCTCTTTGCAATTTCTACAATCTGGATAATACACTCTCCAAGTAACATTCTAGAAAAGGATCCAAGAATAATATATTTTGCCATCGGCACAATCTTTTCCAATATATGCGTAAGATTCTTTATTTAAATCAGTGTGGTAAAAAAAAAAACCTGAATTCATCAATATTGTTAATTAATATTGTTTGCTGTTGCAGTGTCGATTAATTGTATCACAGATGAGTAATACTAGATGTGAAATATTACCATGGATATTGTTGCCAGTCGCAGTAGCCGCTATTTTTTCGTTTATGTTGCCTAGCATAGACCTAGGATTTATGTATTTGGTATCTATAGTGGCTCTGTTAGCACACGTTCATTATGGTGCTTGTGTGGTAAGTATAATAAAATTTAACTATGCTCTCGTAATTTTAATTTTATAAGATACTCGTATATATATTTCTAATTATATAATCAATATAGCTTTATGTGTATACATTATATATACACATACAAAGTAATTTATTTAATTTTAATTTTATAAGATACTCGTATATATATTTCTAATTATATAATCAATATAGCTTTATGTGTATGTATATACATTATATATACACATACAAAGTAATTTATTTGACATTGATTTTGTAATTACAGGTGCGTCAAATGTGCCGTCACTTTCGTATTCAAACGTTTTCCATAAAAGATCATTCCGAATGACTACTTGCCGACGATATATGTTGAAAACGAAGAAATTACGAGGTAAAAAAAAGTCGTTAAAATCGGCACAAAGAAGCAAACAGGGAGAAGAGATCTGACACACACATAAACATACAAATTGTTATTAGATTTAATCGTGAGAAGATTAATTATCATGACAAGACACTTATTGGGAGAACAAGAAATTCTAGAATCACGTCCTTCACACGAAATACGATTATGTAAATGTGCTATTCGCAGAGATTGCAATAGTGTTATTTCATTTCACATATCATAATCGTGAATCATCTACAGAATCGTCTGTTGACTTTTACGCCAGAAACAAATTCTCCGTTCTACAAGAATTCCTTATATATTATCTTACTGTGATATACATTTAGTTATCCGCGCATCATTTTTTTATGTTTGAAAGAATGGTTTATCCAAACATTCTCCATATATGCAGCTTAAAGCACCGGGCTTACATATGTAACATGTATGTGTGTACAAATACTTTTTCTTTGAATGCTGCTGACTTCATCGAGCAGCAACCTGTAAAAATACGCACCTTCGTTTTTGACACGTATCGTCCCTCGGATGTTCATCTTACTAACAATGTAATATCTAAATTTTTTCCTTTTCTTTTCTCTAATTTTCCTATTTCTTTCTAAAATTGTATAAATTATCATCAGCAATTCATATACGTTTCAATAATAGAACAATGCATGTTGTGTAGTAATACAAGTCATTTAGTACAAGTTAATAAGTATGATAATGGGTCGAGTGTATTATTGTTTATATTTCAGTGTAAATTTATGTTAAGATATGTATGATTTGTAATTATTACATTATTATCGTACTAGTTCTATACGAAATTACTTTGCAAAATTCAATATAATCAAATATCAATGACAAGAAATTATTTTATTTTATATACTTTAAAACGAAAATGTTTGATTACAATGTCAGATACATTGAAATAATGTTTAAAAACATGTAAAATTAACTATGTTAAGACATATATCACAAAAAATTTAAGACTTGGTTGACAAATCAATTGTTTTTATGTCTTTAATATGCTTACTAAAGCTTACATTGGCTTACATTTTGTTGAAAACTATATATATAATATATTACAGTGAAATATTGCAAGACGTATTGAAAAAATACCTAAGATTTCACGAAATAAAAGATATTTTTACAAAGTAAAATGGTTATATACATTTATCACTATCTAGAGTTTAGAAAATCAGCCTTTATCTTTGCACGCTCTTCAAAGGGTGGCATATATGGTCTGATACCTTGTAATTTGCGTTCAGACTGCACTTTAGCCTGGATAGAAAAATATTTTCAACCATTTGATGGAGAGAAAGAGACATACATATATATTGTTACATTGGAAGAGAACTCTTACCCAAAATTCTTTACAATTTTTATAATTAACAAAGTATACTTCGCACGCTTTACGGTTTTCCTGATTAGTATCCAAACATTTTAGGGATAAAAGGTGTTCCTAAAAAAATGTAAAATCACAGCTATACAAGTTTCTTTTTTCATTGCATTTTCTATGCTTTTTTTCTTAATTTTCTACAAAACAAAGAAACAACTTAAAAATGTAAAATCACAGCTATACAAGTTTCTTTTTTCATTGCATTTTCTATGCTCTTTTTCTTAATTTTCTACAGAACAAAGAAACAACTTAAAAATTATTTAACTTACTTTCACATAATATGTTTAACAATTATGAAACATTTAAATACCTTGTAACAAGGATTGTATATTGCTTGGTTACGTTGCAATGCATGTTTTTTGACAGGATCTACTTGTTCCGTGACGTCCAAACTTTTCTGTTTACTCATTTTGCCTCTGATGAGAAGATCATTACATATATATAATTTTTTATACAATATATTCGATATTTAAAGAGAAAAAGAGGAAGAGGGAAAATTACAAGAAAATGCAGAAAGTGTACAGAAAGTGCAGAAAGTGCAGCTCTTCCGATCATCTGATTGAAAATAGATTTTAGACGCACGTGGTGTTCAGTGAAATTTTGAAAGAAAATCCATGCATTTTATCATTTGAATAATAATAATAATAATAATAGAAAGAGGGAGAGGAATTAAAAGCCTTTTCCCAAAATTGCTCGAAATGGAAATTAGCGCGGGTGATATGGTGATGCCGGGTGATAGTTTGAAGGATATGTCAATCAAAAAGGAAGGCAAGAATGAGAGAGAGAACGTGATCCTGGGACCCGGATTGCGCCGCGAAGGCAATACCGTTTACGTCTGCAAAGCGGGTATCCTGAAGAAACGCGAACCGGCCGTCTTCTACGTGGACAGCTATCAGAAAAGGTATAGAAACATTGTCATTCTACGTTTTGTATTTATTTAATTATCTTATATTTATCTTATATTTATTCAATTATATTTATTAATTTATTTAATCATTATTTTAATTATTATTCTAGACAACGATATAAATATATCCAAAATCAGAACACAAGACATCTTTAAGACATCTTATGATATGATATAAAAGAAAGACTTCTTAATATAGGTATATCCAAAATCAAAACACAAAACATCTTATGACATGATATTTAAAAGACATGTTAAAGATATTTTATGATCAGATTTCGTTTTAATTTTGATGCTGTCTGGAACAAGAGATCCTAATCGCATAATATACAAAATAATTAGCTTTCATTAATCTACTCTTCATTCACAGGTATGTTCCTAGTCGAGGAGAAAATGTGGTTGGTATAGTAACACAAAAGAGTGGCGACATTTACAAGGTGGATGTGGGTGCCAGCGAACAGGCGACTCTCTCTTATTTGGCCTTCGAGGGCGCGACGAAGAAGAACCGGCCTGATCTGCAGGTCGGCGACGTGGTGTACGCCAAGATGCTGGTTGCCAGCAAGGATATGGAGCCTGAATTGGTATGTGTGGATTCTCAGGGCAAGGAGAACGAGCTCGGTGTGCTTAGCTCGGACGGCATGATGTTCACTTGCTCGCTGAATCTTGTGAGGAAATTGCTCAATCCGGAGTGCCCATTGTTCAGGATGCTTGGTCGAAATCAGGTGTATGAAATTGCTGCAGGGATGAACGGCAGGATATGGATCAAGGCACGATCAGTCAAGGAGACCATAGCTGTGGCGAATGCCATTCTGGCCGCAGAGTACACGTTACCTGGTGAAATGCAAAAACTTTGTGCTAGAATCGAGAAAACGTTGCTTCTGGTAGCGTAATTTCAACTCGAGGGAAATGGACTTTTAAATATTAAAAAATAAAATGTGATTATCTATAAAAGTGAAATGATATGACTGGACTCAAAAAGATTTTGGTATTTTTTTTTTATAAAATCAATAAGAAATGTAAAAAATAATAAGATAAAATAGAATTTATACGCATTAGAGCAAGCTTTTAGATGCAAGTTTTATATTAAAATGTATGAACTTATTTTGTAGTCGATTTTATTTAATTAAACGCAGAGAATAATAAGACCACTCGTATTATCAATGTCGATTACATTTATTGTATCAATATCTGTAATGAATTTTGTAAATAAATTTGGAAGTTCCTTACAATCGATATTTTATATAAGACTATTGTAGCGTGACAACCACTGTGACAACCATCCTGTGATAGTGTATTAAAACTATAGGTACAGTTATCGCTAAAAAATATCATTGTACGGATGCACATCGACGGAAATGGCGAATTCGTGTAAGATGTTAGCGCAAAACGATATAATCGACAATCGCAGTTTGACAGTTAAGAGTAGGAATAAAAGAAGAACTTCACAGGAAATTTAACATTTATAAATTCGCTCTAACAAAAAAAAACGACGATTTTCGATGACATTCGAACATTATGCTAATAATCGGAAACTGTATCGATATATAAAGTGCAGAGCGCGCTTATAATAATTTTTATTATATTTTTTTTTCACTGATATGTGCCTAAATATAATAATGCTCTCTTCGATTTGTTCGAGAGATTATATATGCATAGTCTAGACAGTGATTTGCACTTAAACACAACCTTTACTTTCTCTATAAAATGATATTGCAAGAGCAAAGTGTCTAATCCGAATATGTTCTTTCGCTTAATCAAAATTTCACAGAAGATGTCTTTGTACTTGGTGGAATGTATTCATTGCCATCGCTTTCTAATTAAACATATACGTGAGAAAATCAGCGACAAAATAATTCTGAACAATTTTTAGAAATCACTTTTACTGTTTAAGTTAAAAGGAGTAGTAGTGTTTATACACAAAATAATTTTTTTTGTTCTTTAAATAAATAAATATATATATCGTATTTTATAAAAGGCGTTTACATTATATGTATCCAATGATTTTCTAATTCTTGTCATTGCACAGCAAATACGCCAGCGCCAATAAATAACAACTTATCGTTAAACACATATCACCATTAACTTGTTACATGACAAGTTAATTGATAGTTAAATAATATAACACAGAAAAAGAAAAAAATAATAATAATATGGTGCCTATATCGAGTATATATAACGCAATAACGCATATTTATGCCAACAAAGAAGTTCTAAAAAAATCTAAAAAATAACAGTATTGATAACAACAAAAAATACACTATTAAAGCTAAACTATTCTTTTTGGTCGCATTTATGGCCCCTACTCTCCGTCTCGCACACAGCGCTGTTTTAACATAAAATACTATCTAAATGCTATTTTAAGGAATTTATATTGTGATTATATATATGGTCAGGATTTCCTATGTACCACAGAAAAAAAATCTAAAATCTCACAAAAAATATTAATTTAAAAAATTTCTTCAGAAAAACATACATAGAAAGATAAAATTATTAAATGTTCGAAACTATATCTTTAAAACTTGAAATAGTCACAAAATTACAATTCTATATTTTTTGCAAATTAAATAAATTATTAAGATTGTGTATAATAATAATTATGACTGTTAGAATTATATGAATGTAATTTTTTCGTTTTCTACATCTGTGTGTTTAATATTGAAATCCTGACCCTGGGTATGATAGTATTACATATACTAATTACATCACAAATCACTGAATATCAAATCAAATTACAAGAGTTTTGCGATGTTATATGCCGTAATACATCTTTCTTTTTTTTTCTTCGCCGCTACACTCGATATTTAACGAGACTTTAATTAATTATCGCGCCAGCGATATCAAATGTAACAAATGTAATCTTCACAAAGAAAAGGCAAATAAGTTTGCGAGTTACACGAAACGAAAACATTCATAATATCAGAGACATTAATACCTATACTATGAAACTATCGGGTACATTCTGTATATTATGGAAGAAGCCTTAGCGTTTCTTTTTCTTTCTCGTAGAAACCACACACATGTTCATCACACATCGGGATGTAATTAGGCAGGCAAATATGTATGTTTGGGGACGATACATGGTGGCATTACTAGCAACCATAAACACACTATTCTATGGCATTGTGCTTAATATATATATATATATATATATATATATATATATATATATATATATATATGTGTGTATATATATATATATATGCGTTTCGTCAAGGAGTGCGCTAATTATCGAGGTATATCGAGGGAATAATTATGTAAGTTATATCTAACGATAGTGATAACGATTGTAAGTTTTGTGCACGCACATCTATCGCGGTGATACTGATATATAAAAGCGATGTAACATTAGTTATATATACGCAGGCGAACAATCGGAAAGGAAAGACGAGAAGAATTCTTCCCAGATGAAGATGAAAATTGCTTATGATTCGATCAACTTACAATAGTCGAGAAACAAGAGAGAAATTTAAGGTAAGGCATCGACAAAATATATTGAACAGTGAGAATAGAAATCGATTTTTGAAAAATAAAAATTTCGAAACAATATTTTTTCATTTTAAGATCATAGTTTCCACAAAATTATTTAAGAAGGAAAAACAAGAATCTGTTTTTAAAATCTTGCAAGAACTACTCTTAATACTAAAAATGTCCAAATCTTTAGAATTTAGTCTCAATTTCATCTACATTTTCTGGTCTTTCAAATCCAAAAGTAAATATATATTTCAGAGATAAAAATTCTTCTAAGAATATATTTATATCATATTCAAATGATAATTAAATATATTTGTTGAAGAATTTAATGACTAGTAAAATAAATATTATAACGACGTGTATAGAATCTTAAAATAATGAACTAAAAATAAATAGATATATAAAACATTTAAATTTGAGATTAGTAAATTTCATCATTAAAAATATTTCTCTCAATGTCTTACCTTAAAAAACTATCAAAATATTTGCATCTACAAATTACTACAACAGCCTGTAGATTATTATTGTTTATGATATGAATGTAAAATATCTGCCATTATTACTGTAGGTACACGTTTACACTCGTAATTATATATAATCGCGTCAAAGTCTAAATTTTATCGTTCAAATATTTTCTTCTATATCGTTCGATTTCTACTTGACGCACTTTTTTTCTCGCGTTTTACCACCTACATTTATTTAATAAGCGCGATTTTCTTTTACAACCCCTTAAATCGTACAAAGGAATAGAAAATATATATATATATATATTTCCTATATATAAATATATATATATAAAGCGTTGATTGGTATATGTCAATTCTTCTCATTCGCCTTTAAAATGCTATTATTATATCTCCTCACTTATAATGATAAGACTACCGCGCAATCGCGTTTTGTCTCGTGCTGCTAAAAATAATTTTCATTATACGAGCGGTTTGTGTTTCGTGTAGATATGCTGTTTCTCCTCCACACAGTACAATGGCAGAAATTCCATGACGTACAATGTTCTTTTAAGTTTGTTATCTCGTAAAATCCTTATATCAGTTTAGTAGTATAATTATAAGAATAATTTTTGTGTGTTGAATTATACTATATTGCACAAAAGACCATTTCGTCTTTAAAAAGCAAAACAGCTTTTTTTAATAGTTTTGCTATAGGCATTCGGTATATTTATCTATGTTATTACCTTTGATGAAAAGTAAGGAAAATTACGCATGTAAAATTTCTACGAAATTTACCCGAAAGTCTGAAGAGTCGCATTTTAATGCTCTTTTAAGAGGAGACGACACTTTGCATGTGTCAAATTAAATTGATAAAAATTATTAAATTATAAAAAATTATAATGCTTTATATATAAAAGATGATTCGTATTCATTAATCATAATTATATCATACATTTTGTGTGTCACATTCTAAATCTATATATATTAACGTGTTAAAAAAAGTTACAGTATAATAAATTTTGATTTGATTCGTTACATATATTATTCTTACATTAAGCAGTTCAAGTCTTATGACTCTTTTAGGCAAAAGTAATACGACTCTTCTCTCTGACAGAAGTAAAAAAAAAGGAATGCGCTATATAAACAATTTTTCGTGAGCGAGATTTGTCAATTAGCAAAGCGAGACGTGGTATCGCGGCATAGAATCATCGTCTACCTTGATATATAGATAAATATTATCATCAGATTTCAGCATAATCGTAATGTATATAAAAAATTGTCTTTCCTTACGCCTAAAGTTGCATGATGCTTCGGTTATATAAATATATAATGTATGTATATATTATATATAAGTATTTTCACATATCATTATTATTATGTACTTATTATTATTATTATTGTATTATTTTTCTTAATGTATATTTAGTTCTATATACCATTCACAACGCAGAGTGCATAGTACGAAGCTGAATATCGATCCGCTTGCTCTTATCGCAATTCTTTTACATATATAAGTACATATATATATATATATATATATGCATATATATTTAAGAATGTGTTGGAGAAACGGATCCAAAGCTTCAATGTAACAACGCACAACCAATTTTTATACAACCTGCGTGCATCAAAGTACTTTGTCATCTCATCTCATAGTCGAAATTTATATATGTGAGTGTCACTGTGCTTTTAGCGAATTCAATATTATGTAATATTGACAAAAATATGACATACTTCGCCAATGTTAAGAGAAGAAAACATTTTTAAATTATTTAATAATTTCATAAATATCTCACGTATAAATAATATATTGCTTTCTATTTTTTTCGACCTATGCAATTGAAACAATAAAGATATAGAGTATAATAAAAGAATAAAACTATAATATATTCACATCGAATTGTTAATCGATTCTGCTACTATATCAAATATTTTTTGTTTCGCAAAAATTAAATACAACAAATTAAACATTAAAGTACGCGTATGCACGAAATATAGTGCCTTAAATAGTGTTGTATAGAATGTCCAATCGCTCACAATTGCAAAGATTCATTCGGTTCTAATACAACGGTAGCGTTATTCAAAATATGTAATGTGCTCTATCTTCATCTTATTTAAATGTTAGAGAATTAGAGGTGCGCTAGTGATTATTGAAATCTTATTGTACGCGATGCAAAGAAGCTATTACACCTCGCGCATCTCGTAGGCTGCTGTGTATGCCGTGTATGATTCGTTTCTATTCATTTCATTTCTTTCGACAA